TTCTAATGGGGAAATTACTAATACCTCTCTTGTCGTTTTAGTTAAATGCTAAGAGATGCTCCCCTTCAGTTTGCCTATTACTCAGTCATCTCTTGTGGTTTGAGCCGGGCTAGGTTACTCCATAGCCACTCCTCCATTAACTTGCTGTCCATGTTAGGTTGTGTTTGGTACCATTGTCATTTCAGGTTTAAACTTTTAGAGAGGCAGTATTTTCGTATGAAACTCGTTTTATTGGTATTTATACTGTCCCGGCATTGTACATGTATTTTGATCAGTATTGTATTTAGTATTGGCATTGCAACCTAAAATGTTTAAACGAAATGTGTAAATACACATGACACCACTCTACCTTATTAAGTTTTATACATTGGTCAATTTTAAAAATAAATGCTTTTCCATGATTGGCTCTTTATTACACATAGATTGACATCTAGATGCAGATCTAATGGTTCTAAAAGCATAGAACCAAAAGAAAAAATAAAAGAGGCTTGGAGGTAGGATTTATGRCTATTAAATGGTGCATATCCATATTTTTTTTAGTTATGTGATGCACCAGAATGTATCTCTAAACTGCCACATAGGAGTCTAACTAAGAACCAGGTCATTGGAATGTTTCTTCAAACAGGCAGATGATGAAGGAAACAAAAATTTGACGTTCCCACAACATCCCTTGGTTTATATTTCTAATAGAAAGTAGAAACATTTTATGACTGTTTTATCTCAAAACAATAAGGGTGGATTCAAGTCAATCCAAGTCGAATATTTAGCTATTCAAACTCAGCTTGGTTAGAAAAGCATAAGGTTCAAGTTCGATTCAAGCTAAAAATATGAGCTCAAATTCAACTCAACTCAAAAATTCATATCTCAATTTAAATCGAGCTTTTCATGAATCGAGTTCAAATAGTTAATGAAAAACTCAATCCATTCCACCCATATAAAGTAATCTCAACCAAATAGATAGTTGATATTTAACTTATGAAAAACTCAATCCTTTCCACCCATATAAAGTAGTCTCTACCAAATAAATAGTTGATTTTTAAACGCAAAACACTTCTGGCGTTGATAAGATAGCATTTCAAACAAAAAGGATCATGGTATGAAACATCACCTTTGTTTTATGAAAAATACAATAATTGAAGGAAAAATCCAACTAGGGTGCAGAAATGAATATTTATGATATGTTAAAATTCAATTTCAAACAATCATATCAAAGCCGTCACATAGTCTTTATATCTTTTTGTTCACATTTCACAAGCTTTACTTATTAATCACGTTAAAGACTTTAACAACGTTAATACTGGATCATGTTTTTACTTTATGGTTCACCATAGAATAGTTCAAAATGAATTTTTAAATCAATAAATTAGATTTAATGTTTTATTAATGAGGGTTATTTTCGTAATTTCAAACATATATTTTGAAAACAAAAGTAATACCTTGATATAAAGGGCACCTTATCAAGGCTGGGCACATAGACAAAATACTAATTTTCATCTTGATTTGTCTCTTCTGCCCAAGGTTTAAAGTATGGACACGTATCGGCCGATACATATTATTCCGGGACCCCTCTGATTCACTCCTACAGTGGATGTATTGAGGGGTCTGACCGGTTCAGGGGGTGGAGGAGCCCTAAACCGGCCCCCTTAAACTGGTGGCGAAAAAACTGTATTGATTCGCCCGATACGCCCATACCGGTGTATCGGGCTTCTGCCCTATAGTTTTGTTGTTAAAGGGGGTCAAACTTAATACTTGGTTCTTTTGAGCGAGAGAGAAAAGGTAAGTGAGGGTCAAAGTGTTATTACTTATTAGGGGGCGGTATAGTAATTTACCTTTTCTTTTTAATTAATTACAAAGTCAGAAGTTCTTCTGTTAATATTATTTTCCACGGGCATAGGATTGTGGAGTGAGAAATTTCACGAGGGCATTTTGTAAATTAGTGAATATTGACCTGCAACTGTAAGTAAAGACCATCATCATGGGGTTTTAACCAATGTTTTAAAAAACGACCCGAAATCAGAATAGTTTTGGCCACTTGTTTTCAGATTGATGGTTCAACTATCTGGTTCAAACGGACAATTCATTCTAATAAAAAACTAAAAAAAAAACCATTAACCAGTTGCCTAAACAGTTTCAGTATGGATGTGATTACTATGAAAAAAAGAGATACCCATTTGAAAATCATAGGCGCCCGCAATGCCTAGTTGGTAATTTGGATAAATTAGGAAAAGGATGAGGCATCAATTTGATCCTGCCAAATATGCACTAAACAGAGTGTTTTTGGAGATCACATCTCCACCCCACAATGCCCCCACAGCACATCCCCGCCGTGTATTGGGAGGATCTCCCAATGATAGTAATGGGAGATGTTCTTAATACACGACAGGGATGTAGTGTGGGGCATTGTGGGGCAGTTACTGGTGGGGCAGAGATGTGAACTCGTGTTTTTCTATTTTTGAAAAAACCGTTGATAGAATTTCAATTGGTTTAGATAAACATGGATCAAGACCATGGGTTTAAGACGACTGGAGAGATGTATATGAAACCATGATTCTATGGGACAAATATATCTTGCATATTAGAAGCTGTTAAATTCAGGGATGCCAAGAAGATTCATTGTGCTCCGATACATTTGATCCAACGAGTAAATATGTTGATACATCCTCTTATTAAACATTCCAACTTATCAACGTCTACACCCTACATAAGATTCTTATATCATTTTGTTTTCTTTTTGTTCACAAAAAAAGAATCATATTCCCTTAATGCTCCCATAATTTATAGTTGAAGAAAGGTCAAAAAAAGGGAGATTAATCTGAAATATTTCAGCTACACATTCTTCTTGCTGTCCTTTTTCCATGTAGAACCTTGATCTTTAATTCCTTTATGTTAAAAACTGAACTGAACCATGACAAAAAATAAAAATAAAAAAAGAAAGAAAATCTACTTGCAGAGACAACATTGGTGGACCAAGCACATAATTCAAAAGCCAATGGTTGAAAATTGAACTTTTCACCTGGATGTTAAATAGAGTTTTAGAACAACAATTTCAATTTCAACCATGAGAGAGAGAGAGAGAGGAAGATGGACTGAAACATGCTCAACACATGAGAAAGTAGGTCCAGGAAAAAAGGAAGCATGAGTAAATGGACAAGGATGAACTCATAAAACATGCTCAAACACAGGATAAAGTAGGTCGGGACACGACAATTCCAGTCAGACCCTCCGTGTGAAAACTGAAATGTTGTACAAAAAATAGGGCCACCTTCATGTGTACAGACGACTTAAAAAGAATTCAGAGATCACTTATATTTTTCATTATTATTATTATTATTATAGCTAATACTTGATAGTGGCTTGTATTGTCATCAATCCACCTCCATCCATTCATATCCCCTTAAAAAACCCAACAACTTCAATCTCCCACCCCACCACCAAAGCCTAGCCTGACCTTCCTTCAACCTTTACAGCTTGGTTACCCGGGCCCATATCTAGAAAAGAAAAATAAAACAAATCCTGCCAATGAAAACCTAAGTTGCAGAGTGAGAGAGAGAGGGGTCTTGGTGGGTTGACAAGCTATACGGATAAAAAGTGGGGACAAGGAGAGGAAAACAGGGGAAGGAATTTTGAAGTGGAAATCACATGAGCCACATGAAGAATCGACCGACACCATGGGGGCCCAATTGTATCAAAATCAAATCTATCTCTGAGGAATGGTTTTGTCAACTTGCAGCCAACTGATAACGAAACCGACAGCCATCATCAATTATTGTGCCACCAAGAGAAATTTAAGGGGTCCAACTTTTATAACCCAGACAAAAGAACCTGACACACCCAAACCAACACAACCCAGAAACAAGGGGAAAAGAAATCACACCCACACGGGTTATTTCTGTTTTAATAAGGCCAAAACCCTAATTATCCCACATGGATTTTAGTGATTAAAGTATAATCTACCCAACAAAATCCTAAACAACTAGGTTATACCAACTGATCTGGTATCCTCGTCGCCTGGCATTTTTAACCTGCGCTCCATCCCATGACGTCAGCTTTGAAAAACCATTTAAAATATTCTTAATTAATCAGATGCCACTACACAGCTCTCCTCTGGCTCTAGGCCTAAAGCTGAACTCTCTCTCTCTCTCTAAGCCATTGTTTTATGACTCCTTACAAAAAGTTGCAATACTACTATAACCTCAGTGACTCAGTTCAAAGAACTCAAAAAATAAGAGGTTAAACTTTTAAGCATAAAAAGCCCTATCAGGAACATGTTATTGGGACCCAAAACACAACACAACACAATGAATGTCCAGGAACAGTGTTAAGAATTGAGAGGACTGGTGTTTGACGTGGTTGCTTTTCGACCACTAGATTGGTGTCAAATAGGAATTAGGACAATAGATCAGAGAATTCAGATTACAAAGTAATTAAATGCCACAACACGTGCGGGTACCTTGTCAAATCAAAAATCCTAAAGTGGAAGCCCGATAATAATGGATAGTAGATAGAAGCAAGAAGGGAGAGAAAAGGTCCGATGATAGAGATGTCCGAACGACCTTTAAATACAGCCGACCTTGAAAGGAGGGAGGTTGATGTTAAAAAACCATAAATGCAAATGCAGAGAAAAAGATGCAAAAATGCAAGGCGCACAAGAGAGTGATGGATAGAGACCTTGAACTGACTGATAATACTGGACAATCCTGGACAGCACTGTGAAAAGTACGGCTCAGCAAAACAAAGAGATGAGGTCTCTGTCTGAACTAAAAACCTAACAAGGGAGAGACGTTTCATATTAAATGACAGCATAGATGAATACATATACACCTTGATATCGAAAGGGGACCCCCATCACATGGCTGCTGTGTTGGACGGAACTTCCACGCAATTCTCTAACCAGATAAACAAAGTTCACCAAACCTCATGTCCAAGACCCGAGGTCCATGGAAAATTTGCAACACTGAAGGATTTTCAAGAAACTTCAAAGAGAGAGCTTAGGCATCCACTTCGTGGGAATTAGACCACCATTAAGCATTGCAAGATAATATAAAGATGAGTTCATAAAACATTAGAACTCCTACCAAATACTTGTTGAATGTATTTCAATGTTATATTTGGAGAAGTGAGTATTATAATTACAGTAAGCACCTTATATATAAGCTTCTTAAGTGAACTTACTCGGAGTTCTTGTCCACCCACAGAGAGGGAATGGAGGTGAACTAAGAGTACAGAAGAAAGAATGGTTGGATGTAAACACAAAATACCATCACGGTCCCTTCTCTTTCTTCTTTTCCCCCCAATCTTTGTGAGTGTTCTTTTTAGTAGTCAAGTAACCCCACAGACGTGATCCCAGAACTCAGATTTCTCGAGTCCTGTCGGCTCACGTAGTCATCACAGCTGTTGCTGGAGAGCCTCTGGATTGGGACAGAATTCAGAAGCTCAATACCTTGTTTTCCCATCTGCTGCACTTCCTGAGGCGAGAGTATCTTGATACACCACACATTGTTTACAAACTCCCTGAAAAAAGAATAGATAACAATAAAAATCATCAGCAACAGTTCAAAACACACCACCACCGTAGTTAAGAAATGTTGTTTCTCACGTCGTATTCATATATGGCAATTGGCAAGTTATGGTCAAACAATCAGATTAACAACCAAGCCAGTAAAGGTGACAGTAAGTGTTTAAAAAGGACCAGTTGAACAATTATAACAGTAGAAGAGTTTCCTATGAAGCAGAGAATAGAGAATTTACAGATATGAAATGACAAAGTGCAAAATATGCTAATTCATCAAGAAAAAAGAGTGCAAAATATGCTGAATTGCGGGTGTAACATATGCAGGCTTTTTGCATCTTGTACCACTAACCTTGTGGCATACCGTGCATATAAATATATGTTTCAAATAAACACTATGGTGCAACTGAACTGAACAAAACCATACAACTGGACAAAACTAGAGTTACTTGATGAGCTGGAGCTTCAAGTATACATAACATCTACAGTTTTGAAGCAATAGAATAGCGAGCTGTAAAAGGTTGCAACTTACTGCCAGGGGTCATCGCCAAGAAGAAGAACATCGTTCTCCCGGTCGACGAATACAAGCTGCCAGCCTGATCTCAGAGGGTCCTCCAATTGGCCTTCAAGGCCAAATAAACGAGCGAGCTCACTGCGCAGCTCATGATAGCTGCTGAACCTAGTGATATCCAGTGACCTCCCGAAGGACCCCGATTTGTGAACCTGTCAAGGATTACAACCTCCAAATCAATTACCAGGTAACAAATGCAAATTCTCACACTTGACAAGGAGCCACAATCCAGCTAAAATTTATGCACCCTTAAAAAGCCAAAAAAAGGAGAAATGAATACACAAAACGAACAAGCAGATAATTCATCTAGACATTTAGGCTGTGTTTGGTTGCAGTGCAAATTTATTTGCACTAGTACAAATGCATGGGAGTGCAAATGAAAAATATGCAAATTCTCATTTAATTTTGTTTTGGGTTTTACTTTATTCTGTTTCATGTCTTAATTTACTTCATTTGTACTGCAATCAAAGAAAATAAGCTAATATTTAAAACAAAAATAGGTCAGAATTTAAACTCAAATCATTTGCACTACAATAAATTTGCAGCAATGCAAAATTATTTGCATTGCAACCAAACACATCCTTAAGAGCACCATACTATACAAAGTGAACAAGCAGAGAGAACAGAATTAAGGACAAAACATTCAAGTTGTTGGTCCTACATAGTTTTTTTATCAGAACACTAGATTGTTAAGATTCCAGATAAGTATTAAATGAGTTTTCACTTGGTGAAAACATAGGCATGGATCACTTGTTAAAACGAGTACTTGGGCAGCCTCAGGTTAAGCATTTGTTAAATTTTCAATGGGCCCTGCATGAGGGCTGCTGCATTATAAATTCCGTCAATTCAGGTAACCTACTTGCCCCCCCCTGGCTACTGTTGATCCATCAACAGGAACACCTGCAAAATATGGTGATAAATCTGCTCACCTTCACAAAGGTTCTGGTTGGTGGGTTAACTTGGCCCACATTCTCTGGGGACTGCAGAAAACCTGACTCATCTAAGCAACTTGAAGTTGTGACAGCCGGATTAAGTGGGAAATCAGTTCCCGTGGAACTAATAAAATTGGAAGCAGCAAAAGGCATGGTTGTTGAATCACTATCACTGCCAACACCTCCGAGGCCTGACATCCCATTCTGCATTAGAAGAGAGGAAGAATCTATATTAACCCCAAAAAGAAGATGGCTTTGGGGATCTGAGCTACCTTCTTGGTCTACCGAGCATTCTCTACCAGGAAACGGTGGCAAAGAGATGGAATTTTGAGAGACATTGGTCTGTGGTTGGGGCATCTGCTCCACCTGGGGAAGAACACACTGAGTTGCTCCAGAAGGCAGAAGAGGTTCAACTGCAGCTCGCTTGGGCAACCAGGTGGTAGAAGGTATTAGGGAGGTGGTCCTTGGCAAATTAAGAAGTTGAGATGTCTCATCCTGGGGGAATGAGCCCAAAAGACTATGAAGGGGAGAAACACTGGATGTGGTTACAGGGTTCCCATTGGAGTCTGCAAAACTTGGTTGCTCACACAATGATGATATAGCCTGTAGAGATGGAGGCTGAGACTGAGACTGGGAAACAGACACAAGGTTTGACAGGGCAGTGACAACATTTGGAATCTGTTGTTGATCAGATAATTGTTGTTGCTGATGATGATGTTGATGTTGCTGTTGTTGCTGCTGATGATGCTGATGTTGCTGTTGTTGCTGCTGATGATGTTGATGTTGCTGTTGTTGCTGCTGATGATGTTGATGTTGCTGTTGTTGCTGCTGATGATGTTGATGTTGCTGTTGCTGCTGCTGATGGTGTTGATGTTGCTGTTGTTGCTGCTGATGCTGCTGTTGTGGTTGCTGTTGATCATTAAATGGGAGGCGATGTTGCAATTGTTGCTGAAGAAGATGAACTGGAGGCTGGGGCTGGTTCTCTTGAACATTTTGTAAAAAGGGAAGCTGGGGTTGTGAGTGCTGCAACATCTGCCTTGGTATTAGAGAGGCAGACCTATTGGTCACAATCTGAGGTTGCTGGAACTGTAGAAGGGATGGAGATGCCTGTTTTGAAGGATCCACAGTCCTCATTTCCTGAAGTGCAGCAGCAGCCATTGCCTGGTACATATCAGTTTGAAGACCTAGCATAGAAGCATCCAGTCTTGGCTGCATCCAGGGTGTAACCCCAATTCCTTGGAAATTTAGAGATTGAATTCCCCTATCTCCACCATCCCCTCGTAGACACATCAGTTGAGAATTAATGCCCAGATCATCATCCTTCATCCCTGTATGTATCAAAAGAGACACTGCAAAATGATTCCTATGCATAATTGAGAAATAAGGAGCAAGAATATCAGCTGCTTCTCCAAGTCCTAGAAGTGTAAAGAAACCATACCATGTAAAGAGGGTAGTCCAGGAGGCCATGGTCTCTTGAGTCTGAGAGGGAATGGAGATGGATACATTGGGAATGTTGTTAAAGGTTCAATCTCCCACAATGACACTCTTGGCTGTCTCTCCCCTGCAGTAGACTCATCCCACCCAACCTAGTTTAACGGAAGCAATACTTGTTAGAAAAGTTTCCTACAGTATTTTCTAACATTGCAAAGCAAATTTAAGTGTAATCAAGTATCATAAGCTAAATCCCAAAGGTCTCAATACACCTTCACAGAGCGCCAATGTGAATTTGGCCATCGAACAGGATCCAAGTCACTAATGCCAGTTATTGTGCCCATATACCTGAAAGAAAATAAACAAATCACATGATCAGCAAATGACTACTTGTACAAGCAACTAGGCATTTAAAGGTGGAAATAGCAGATCAAGGATCTCCCTTTTAACACTGCAAAATAAGAAAGGCCACCAAGTAGATAATTTAACTATATACACACTTTCAGGCTTTGGCAATGAGTTGGAAAATTCATTCACACTACTCTAAACTCACCTATAATTAGAGAAACATCTGATAAACATCACTTTACTGGACCTATTTTTTAACAGCATAAGTTGAAACAAATTTACTTTCATCTAGGACATGTCATATGCAACATCCTTGAATGATATGTTCATCCAACCCAAAACCATCTTCCCTTGTGCACACTATATATATTTCAAGTCCATCTATTGCATATCTATGGCTCTCCATGAAAGAAAAAGAAAAAAATGAAATAGGAAAAAAAAAAGTTAAGGGAACCATTTAGCAATAACATTCAGAAGATGAGCTTCAGGACCAACCGACGGACACTTGATTCTTCAGTCTCAAACAGCATCCGAAAGCGCATACCAACAGAAACACGGGTGTGATAGACTGCCTTCACATACTTGGCTAGAGTTATGACAAATTCTGATGGACTAGCCCTGGGAAAGCAATTGAAAAAACAAGTGAACAACAGTGAAATGCCCCCAAAATATTCAATTTTCCCCAACTGGAAACAACTCTACCTTGGATTATAAAATATAGTGAACCGACTGTTTGTTGCAGCTGCATGAGCTGCTGCAGCAAGGAGCCCTATGTGCATACTGTCACTTGATAAAACTGACGAAGGCATCACTGTTTGTGGTCTATTGGCACGCCGGATTCCCAGGAGCAATTGGTTCTTTTCATTCCTTGAAAAAAGTATGCCCCAGTGTCAGCAACAAGTTAAATCATGGATACATGGTCAAAATAACTGATCTAAAGGTTCAAGATCAAAGGACAAGAAGCATATTCCCTTGTTCATATCGTACAAGTAACACATGTACGAGGAGATAATATTTACTGCTTTAACAAATCAAAAAGAAACATGTCTTAAACTCAAAGAACAACCTAATCAGCCAACATAAGTAGATTATATGAATGACCATTTTCTGCTGAAAGCCTGAAAACGGAAAAAGATTAATATATTGAAATAACTATGCAGTCTGTCAGATGAGTTTTTGAGTCTCAAGCTCCCAAATGTGGACAAAATGCAAAGAACAGGTATTAGGTTGTTCCTACACATGATTCCTAAAGGCAAAGAAAGTCAAGATCACCAAGAGAGAAGCTTAAGAAAGTTCGCCTACCAGATGAAAAGGACTGAATCACCAGCAACGAGTCTTTTTGCACTCACAAAAACACTCCAACCCGTTGTAAGGAGATGCCTTTTAGGCTGGCCTGCATTTGAGATTGAATCAACTAATGAAAAGCTAGTCTTTTTCATCATAAGAAATTAACTAGTTCCTTTCTCGGATGGGGAAGATTAAGCTTTTTTATCACCTAGCAGTTGACATGTGAATAGGCAATTGAAAATGTACAATATGATCAATCAAAAAAAAAAAAAAACCAAGCAGCACAAATCCCATTGACATCATTGCATGCCCAAGAGTTAGAAAATTGTTAAGGATGAGATTCAGGACAACAGCAGGGCACCATTTATTGCCTTACACACAAATTTTTATCCATAACTAATAAAATCAAGGGCAGTTTCTAAATATATCAAGTTCTTATGTGAATATTTTTCTCCTCCATCAAGCCCAGAGCATGTCAAATAACAACAATGGCATATAGTCAAATGGCCTCAAAATGAAAGAAGGAACATAAACATTCTAGACTTCATTTTGCAAGTGCATAGAACCCCAAAGGCTACAAGTCGATGTAAGCAGAAGCCAAGAAAGAATGACTATTTACAAAAGGAGCTACGAGTTCTTTAAAGAAATAGGGATAGTAGAGATATGAACAAAAGAGATGGTTAAACCTAGAAAAATCACATACACACACCATTAAAAGTAAAGGAAGATGGAAGCATAAAAGAAAGTGTTCTACGCATGAGCAAACAAATGAGAAGTATAGTAAAAATTGGCTTTCAAAGATTATTCAAAAAGTCATAATCATGTCAACATCCACACCATTTACTTAAAAGTATAGTCTTCTGCAGCTCAACATCAAAAGACTACACATCTTGGAGTAATTGAAACTGTGTATTCATATGAACAAATAGCTTTCATACACATGATATTGGATACAGAATAAGATTAAAATAAGAAATTGTCACGAAAGCTCAGCAAACATCTAACCTCCAAGTAGCATAAGAGAAAGAAAAGGTTCACTCATGAAGAAAAGATACATCTAGAATTCTTTTCTAATGTAATATCAGAAAACTAACCCCGAAAAATATGCCTGAACTTCCACTCGTTATCATGAAGATCCCTAGCAATCAACTCCTGAGCTGGAGGCTGCTGGGAGAAGTCCTGAAGGAAAATTTGATAACATAGATGAATTTGTTCAACATTAGATCAGCTCAAAGAGGTGAAGGATATATCAAAATTTTAAAGTAAGCAGGTTTAGTAATATATTAACATAAGCAACCTACCAGTGGGGGAAAGACCTTTTCAGCTGCTCGGCGAGGCACAGAAAAACCACCATGAGTACTAGTGTCACTCGCGGTCAAAGTTTTACAAAAATAGTTTGTTGGTTGTTTGCTTGGTGTACCCAATTCTGTAGGCAGGTAAGGTTCTTTTTGCTCTTCCTGCAGAAAATAAATTGAAAATAATAAATAAATAAAATCCTAGCAAACCATTAAAGCAAACAGGGTGATAGGGGTTACCGGACTCAGTGGTTGTAAGGTCATCTGGGCATACACTTCATCAGTCTCTACATCTGCCTGAATTTTGACATATTTGGGATTTTAGGTAGCAAGCACAATGAATATCCAGAACCAGACAAGAGCAAAACAAAGCAGAGCTTACATGCATGGTAACATTGTGAAGCTGACAGATCAGCTGTGGTGGTAAGCTTGGGTAATTAGGGATATGGGCATCAACCTCCTTGTTGGTTGATGCAGCCACCTGCATAAGAACATTGATGACTTGCTTAATACCTCTAATAACAGGTGAACTAAGTTAAATTACCAAAAAACAATGTGTACAACGTAAGCTTTCAGCCATTTGGCCTTCAACCTTTGAGTGAACGAGTTCTATACATCCAAAGAAAGTGCAAACTTAATATGTAAGAAATGGAAATATTGATGTTGTTCCAGATGAAAGTGTGCAGAGGAGCGTAGTCTTCACCCAAATTGACAAAAGAGAAAAAACGGAATAGAAAAAAGAAAGTTTCCAGATAATACTAACAAGTGTAATTTATCAAAAAAAAAATGTTAACAAGTGTATATGCATGTATTAATAAGAATCGAAGTTTAAGATGTAGTCAGTTAGTCACCAATTCACCTTACTGAACATTAAGATCTTTAGGCTCAATTTTATGGGGAAGATGGTCACCAAACAATCATAGGAGTGATGGCAGAGATAGCATGAAATTCTACCATGTTCAAGCACTACAGAATGATTCCAATGGAACATACATGCATAGACAGATAGACTCATAAACATACACATTACATGCATGTATATACACAAACATGTATCAATGGTTCGCTCCTGCCACATACAGCAAAGCAGCATCGGTCTTCAATCAAATAAATCTTCTCCTAATTTTTCTTTTTTTTTATCAAAATCTTCTCCTACTTTTTCTTTTTTTTATCAAAATCTTCTCCTAAATCACATGGGTATTCAGCAGAATCCGTTGCTCTAAGCAAATGGAAATTAACATTGACTGCGATTTGCTTATATTCCACGAGATGGGTGATAACCATCACAAATTCCATCGTATCACATTCGAAGGACTGAAATACATGTATACTAACCTGCTCACTGTGACCCTGTGGAAAGTAGACCACGCGGCTCCCAACAGCAGGCAAAGAAACAAGAGGGCCCGCGCATGCATGCCACAGCTCAGAATTCAGAACTCTCTTTTCCCCTACAAAAAAATATTCCGCAGCAACATTAACACAGATCAAGAAACTTAATTTCTCACACATTTGACTCAGCCACTGTTTACAATTATCAATAACCAGGCTTACGAAGATACAATTTCGTATTCCTTTGATAGGACGATTTTGATCGAATAAATGGGCATTCAAATGGCCCTATAATCACTTGAATTCCTCCACAAACACTGGAGAAAACATGGGGTGTCAACTGGATGTTGGTATGAAGTTCAAATCGATAACTTAAAGCAAAGAGCAAAACTTCAGGGGAAAAGAAGAGGAGGAAAAAGCAGATCGGAAGCGTTCATAAAAGTTTGTAAAGACGAAACCTCGAAGAGAGAAAAGGACTCTGGTGGCTGTAAGCTTACCTTCCTGCGCCTGATGAATGAAACCAGACGAAGACAGTCTCATTTTTGTGAATACTATGGAGACTTTCGCTCAAAGATAGTTTACCCACCAACAAACACAGGATCCCAAAAGGCTGTTAGCCTCAATAAATAAGCAAAACCTTCTTAAAGAAACACTGCGTCCAGCGAAAACCCGCTACCTCCGCTTCCTTCTCGCCGAGAACAACAACTACCTTTACTCCCTTCTCGCCGGAAACCACCATAACTCTACTTCACCCCTCGCTGAACCAAAAAACCGTACAAAATTCCAATAGGTGCTTAGTGTCTCAGCTCCACTTGCCCGCCAGAAATTAACCGAGGAACCAAACACCAATCCCAAAATCGTCATACGCAGATTGGAGTAAACCAGTAGCAACCCCACCCCCCCCCAACCTTCATCCAAAACCGGGTCCGCTACAAAATATAATCCTTTTCAGCCTCATTCGTTCTAGATCTTCTCCGACCAAACCCTAGGCTTCCAATCTCCAATCCACAACTTCATGCAATGGCTTTAACCGCAAGAATCTTCACATTTCAACTCAAACCTAGAGACTAAGCTCCCAAACCAAAACAAAAACTAATCACCCTTCAACTCCAAAATACTCTGCTCTTCTCAGCTACTAAGACCCCCCCTAGGGTTTCAAATATTCGCCGCCCACTTACAACCTTCCTTCACCACGACGTAGACGAATAAACAAAACCAAAAACACGCATTCCAGTGTAAACCAACCAAAACCAGAAGAAACCCACAAGCCCTCCAGATCTCAGCCCCTTCAAGACCAAAAAAAACGGAAAAAACTGTACGACAGGTATCAGCACAAACCCTAAGTAAGCTCACCCTCAGCACAGAAACAGTATGTCTCAAGACACCATTTACCCCAGATCTCCAACTTCGGTACACAGAGAAAGCTCCGGATTCGTCAATTATAGTCACGAATCGAGCATTTCAAAACGAATTATACATCGTGGAAGCTTTCAAGAGGAGAGTGATCGGAGTTAGCAGAGCATTTGTCGACGATCCATCGCCGAAATTCCCCTTTTTAGGCTCTTTTCGAGCTTCGGTATTTTTTTCTTTCTTCTCGCTTTTGCTTTTTTTCACTAAAGAGAGCTTCTGCTAGTGCTGCTGCTGCTGCACTGCTTCTCGTCCTCTCTCTCTCTCAGTCTCTCTCCTTTAATCCGATCAATCAATACAACCGCCATTATTTTTCGCTGGCTTTTATACCAGGAGAGGAGAGAGAAAGAGACTAGGAGAGAGACGGAGAGAGAAAGTGTGTCAAATTAATTTCTTTAGTTTTTTTTTTTTTTTGCTTTTACTGTTTTCGACTTTTCGTGTTCATAGTTCAAACAGACAGTTTACGTACGAGTTCAGACACGGATACTCGGTCAATTACGAAATTGCCCCTTTCTTTCCTAAATTAGGTTAAAACTTAAAACTAACCAGAGTAGAACCCACGCAAATAACCCTAACAGGAAAGTAATAATATCGCAGTGGTTTTCCTGCACGGGTCGTCTAGCAAAACACCAGAGTAGTGAGAGTACCTTCCGCATGGAATGGATTCAAAATGGTCTTACCACGTGGCAAACATAAAAAACCCAAAAACCAAGAACGTTCGACACGCCACGTGTGACTTAGCCAAATGATTAGGTGGGTCCATTTAAAGATTGCATGCACGCCTCAAGGTAAGCATGATCAGATGAATTTCAGGCCATCTGATTACCCCATTTCATTGGTAAATGATGGGATCCATCTTAGGTTACACACGGAAAGATCCAAATTTTAAAGGGTAAAGGATGAATGTTTGAACCAAGGTCCCAACTATCGATACATATAGTTTCGGACTCCATTGGATGTATCGAAGGTCTGACCGGTTCAAGGGTAGAGGAGACCTAAACTGGCTCCCTAAATTGGTTGTGAAAAAAAAAGGCCTAAAATACTGTATTGATTCGTCCAATATGCTCATACCACATATCAGATATATCAATATTTTAAACCTTGATTTGAACCACATTTGATAGGAAAATTGTTGAGAGAAATGCTGGTAGACAATGAAATTAATGCATAGCTATAAATAACCATGGTGAGTACATTTTTGCCATGAAATTTGTTTAAGGTGCAAATGCACCACAAGATCTGATATTTTCTTTCTTTATTTTATTTTATTTTTGTGAGGTAGCACCACAGGATCTAATCCAACCCTCATTAGACAATCATGTGGACATGTGGATTATAAGGGTGTAAGCATGGTCTGATAAGCTATTAACTATTTTGGGAATATCACAAAATTAACTATGAAACTTAATTTGGCTTGTAAACATCCATTTTGTCCCTAATATACCTAACATTAAGGTTGTCCCTAATCTATCGAAAAACAATTATGAAGTTGCCAATGGTTTTAGACTTTTAGTTGGTAAATTCTTTACATGAGAAGAAATCAGCTACTCCCGTTGGAGTAGCGCTGTGCTAAAACCATGAAATGACAGCCTTTGGATTTATGCATGTGGCTTCACCTTATGTCACTTCATATCGAATATAGGTAACGCCGTGATTCACGGTTTTAGCCCAGGACCATTTGAATGGGAGTTAGTTGATTTTTATGCTTCTTTAGTTAATTAGAAATTTAGAATTGAGACCAGATCTGCTCCTGGCTATTGGGAATTTCTCCCAATCTTATTAGTTATTATTCACAGGAGATATTTTCAATGCAGAGTGGATGTATCTGTGAGAGCCCATTTGTGAGGAACAGATTCCGCTTCATTAGAATTAGCTTGTTGTAACTAACATTTGGGTTCCATTCTTGCCTCCAAACTCCAATTAGGAGTGTTTATGAGGGGCTCCAATTGCTATTCACTACTTGTTTTCACATCTCAATCCATTAGACATAACAGTTGTGCATTGGGAATGTCTCCCTTTTCATTGAGAAGTGTTCTCAATACATGGGGGCATTGTTCAGTGGATATAGATGTGGGAACAATTACTGGATAGCAGATCCGACTGGTTTGGCCTAGGGATCATGAATCTGCATAGATCGGCTGATTTAGCCAAGAGATTTTTTTGGCCTGTGTTACGATATATCTCATGGTCATGGCTAACATGGGTTCTACCGACATGGCTTGCAATCCGGTATGGATATGACACACAGCACGACCATGTCAATTATAACCATTAGTATAATGGTAAAAACATCCCCCAATATCTATAAATGGCTATTTTGGCAGATATTTGTATATTTTATCAAAGGGGGTGAAAATGATTAAAATGTCCCCTAACACTTATAAAAAGCTTAGTTCAGAGGAGCATTTCCAAGTAAAGTGATAAATAAATCCTACAAATAACCAAAATATCCCAACAACAAGAGCTAGTTAGGATGGTATTTTGATCAATTCAATTATTTATAACTCTTATAAATACCCTAACCCTTACCTATATTCATCACAACCACAATCATCCAATGGAATACAATATTCTCATATATTCTCAAATTTTTATTTTTATAAATTTCAAGAAGAAGAAAGGTTTGATTGAGTGTCTCAAATTGAAGAATAGAAGTTGATAATTTGGGAGATTTAAAAGCTTTGCATTCAAGTTGAAATACTGAATTGGTAGTTTGGACTCTGACTTCCAGGACTGAAGTGCAATTACTGAGTTAGTTGGATTTTTTTTTATTTTAGATTTTAATATTTATTATAGTGGTCAATTCCACTCACCCCTTCACTTTGCTTCATTTGGCTTTGATTAGTCTCAGTCACTCTACAATAGCACTACTGATATTAGAACTAATTGTATCACTGCTAAATAAATCCAATCTGTTAGCCCATTATAAAAATAATTTAAACAAAATTTCTAAAACATTTGTGAGAATATTCATTGTGCTCATACTTAATGTGATCACAAGGGTGTGCCTAGTAGATCGAATYTCAATGGGAACAGGTTACTCCCTATTGTGTGGCCCCACCAAGAAAAGAAAAAAATTAATATGATATGGAAAAAATATGATATCTGAAAAWTTTCTGACCAGTCAACTGGAATCATAAACATGGTAACAAATTAACTGTTAGTTATCAAAATTTATGGGTGGATTTTGATTGGTCAAATTCTTTTCATACCATATCTTTTCTGCATCATAGATTTTTCCAGTTGTATTTTCTCCGATAACGATAGATGACCATCTTGAGGTAAAGAGAACTGATTAAATACGTTTTTTCATATTAATTAAGCTAGTTAATAGATATCATTTTTAAGGGATTTGGCTTTTATTTCTTAATGACTATGATGCCATATTGGCTTCTGATTATTTTTCAAAACATTTAAGAAAATTACTTATGATCACTTATAAATAAACATACTTCTTRGTAAACCGAGAATCACTCAATATCAAGATGACAATGCTATCTAATAAATTAAAATTTACAAGTTTTGGTAAAATCAGATCCAATAGAGTATCAATTTTGATTTTTTTTTTCAAAATTGAAGAAAAACTTGCACAAAACAAAACTTCCAACTGCATAACCCCCCCCTCCCCCCGAAAAAATAAAAAGTCTATAATTCTTAAATTTGGAAGTTCCCATTTTTATAAGAAAAATGCTTTTGAATCAAAATTGTTTCTTTTAGAAATTCCTTACACATGTAAAGAATTGGAATTATTTTTTGACTACTATTGATTAATAATGAGAAAAGGAAGAGATTTATGAGGAAATCATCTATTGTTAATGGGTTAACAACCAATTTTGTGAAATGGGTTCCAAGTGGTCCAGGACTACGGCCTACTTGCTTTCAAGAATTGGAGAGTGAGACATCTTCACCACCTCACCTATCTAAAAACAAAAGATAAGGTCCTTGATGACCACCTAGAATAAGATGATTGGCCGAAAATTAACTTGATATATTTCATATCTTCTGCATCCCAACTTCACTTAAAAGCTCAGTTTGAAAAGAGTAAATACAAATATATACAGAATAAATACAAATATTTGTATTTGTACGTATTCCTTCCAATTGAGCCTAAATAAATTGACTCCACCAAATCAAACTGGTGCCCACCATTATTATAGAGCTAATTAGATCATACTAACTACTATCCATTTATTTTCAGTGCTTCATTTTGCACTACTGTAATGAGTGCAAATCAATTGAGAGCAAATTTCAGTCCACCTTATTTCATGCTTTACTTTGTGATGAGGGAAGATTTGGCCCTTCATTGATCTAGTAACACGTGGCACAATAGGACCGTTGCATGACACCTCAACGCCACATGAACAACTACGGATCCCACTAAGTTAAGGAGGTACACCTCAGAACCAGTCTGAGCACCTCGTACACAACTCGGGCACCACAGCAGGGCAGCTAATAATACCTCGTCCAGGGTTGACCTATGGTACCTCGTCGTTACCGGTCCAATGGACCTCAATGTGAGGAGCAACCTCCCCCGAGGACTTGCCAACCTAACTAAGGTCCAGGTGGCAACCTGCGAGAGTGCTCGTCGACCTCCTCTACATGCATCCTGTCACTCCTAGGTCTCTCGTAAGTTGGCTCCCGCACCAAATGTTCCAGAGGAAACTGAATAAGGCACAAAGCCTGATCTACGTGCGCGACTAGCTTCAAGGACTTCAGACCAATCAGGCATGTCTTCTTGGAGATCTCAGGTGTGTGAATCCCACACCAAACAATGCCTATATAAAGGTATCATCTTCTCCATGAGAGAAAAGGTACGCACGATTGAGCTCTTGCATTCTTCTACTTACAAGCTATCAGCTCTCTCTAAATCTCCTTCGCTAATTTAAGCATCGGAGTGCCAACGCTGGGTAAAAGCACCTCGAAACACTCTAATCTTCTTGCCTTGTAGTTCAACCCGACCGCGTAGCTAGTTTGACGTCTAATCTGCCTTCCAACAAGGAGTGACCAGATCGTGCTACATCAATTGGCATCATCTGTGTGAATCACTACACAAAAGCTAAGTTCTCACTTGTTCTCCGAGCCTCAAGTAATGGCATCGTCAAGCAACAACAACAACACCATGATTGAAGGAATCCCCCGGGGGGGCAGAATTAGAATGATCGGCCCAAACAAATTCCAACAGCCTTGCCCGGACATAATCTCGCAGCTCTGACTGCAAGGCCGCTCCCGCGTGTTGAGACGTACATGCTCTCTACAAGCATCGATGACCAACAGACTGTGAGG